CAAGAAGTGCCTTCAATGTGGAACGTGAAAATGTGTACAATTTGGTTAATACAATATGTACAGAGAATGCATCATATTTTGTAAAATTAGGTAATCAGTCGGGTAACTTTATGAAACTTTTAACTCTTTGATAACGAATGCATCATATTATATAAAATTAGGTAATCACAAAAGAATTTTAATCTTAAAATAATAGCCTCTCTCACAACCACTACATCATTGGAATCATCTGCATTCACCTCCACCTCAGCTAATAGCTTCGATAACAAATCATGGTCTTCTACATCCCACCCGCAATTACAACCTTCTTTTCTAGTCTCCCCGAAATCGGCCTCCTCATCAGAGTTTATCTCGGGTTTGGGAATATTCCTGGAAAAATCTAAAAATGGCTTTAATAAACGAAAAAAAATATGTGAATAGTTGTTTCATTATTAGGATTCTAATTTCACAAATTACCAAAAATAAGACAATAGACTACCCTTAACATGAAATGGAAAAATTATACAAAGACTAGAATTTACTAAGAGATAGAACGCTAAAAAACCCTAATGCAACGTGCAAAGCATGTGCATGGTAACCTCTTATTTATTTCTAATGCATTGAGAGGAGTTTAACATATACAAAATTGTATTAGTCTGGTAACTTTATCAAACTTTTAGCTCCATTATGATGAATGCATCTCATTACAAATATTATGTAATCAAAAAAGGATTTAATTTACTATTTATTTAATAATGTTTTAATATTACATCAATAAGTTACTACATTATTCAACAACATTTGAGGTTGCAAAGTGGAGATATTGATTACAGTTTATTCTATGTCTTGTTTTGTTATTGATATAGCATAGATTGAGAAATATTCAACATGGAAAAGAAGCAAAAGAAGAACAGAGAAGGAGAAGAAGCAGGAAATAACTAGAGAAGAAGAGAGAAGAAGGTGGAGTGGGAGTGAAAACGTGGCCAACAATTCATTTCATTCATCAACTGTCTTTGGAAGTTCCAATTACAACCATATAAATAACTAGACATATATCTGATAGTTAAAAGACTTGGGCAATACCCATACACAAGCCCAAATAAACATAAAGCATAAATAAAAGGGCTAAACAAACGGCCCAAAAAAGAATGTCCGCATCAATTCTACCGGGATGGGAAAAAAAATTCGACCCTGTGAAGTAGGTAAATCACAAAATACTACTGTCAAACTCCCAACCACAAATTAAGTGGTTGAACAAACTTCTTTCGACGTCTATAAACACGTAAGGGTGATGATTCGAGCAAAGGAAAATCCTACTGGCTCCTATAATGCTCCAATAAATCAAGGTCCAACTACTGAAGTGTTTCTTTGAGGATTCAAGTACAATTAGAATCAGGGCGACTTATCAACGAATAAGGAAACGTGGAATCTATCCATCCTTGGTTAACACAATCTAATCATCAAGAATAGCATCAACTTTTTCTTTGTATTCTGTGATAGGTAGAATCGGGGCATAAATAACATATTCAAGTTGAGGGTCTAAAGATGGAGATATAAAAGGATCATCAGAGGGGTTAAAATGGCATTGTAAACAACTAAATTATCAACATTAAAGGTAGAATGGTAGCCAAAATGTGACGGTGGATAAATGACATATGCATTTTGAAAAATAAGCTTTAAAATTTTAAAAGGACCAGCATTACAAGCTTGCAACTTAGAAGCGAATCCAAATGGATATCGTTCCAATCTAATTCAAATCATAACATAATCCCCAATATTAAATTCAACATGTCATTTATCTAAATCAGCTTGCAGTTTCTATAAGACATTACTTGCTTCCAATTGTTTATTGATCACAATATGCAAGTCATGAATATGTTATACAAATGGCTCAGCTGAAATAGACATATTAGCATATGGAGATATTGGAATAAGGTCTAAAAGCATCCTAAGTTTATAACCATGAACAACTTCAAAGGGATTCATACCTATAGACCGATTCAAAAAAATGCTATACGCAATTTGGGCAATAGAAAAAATCAAATCCCAATTCCTAAGATTTTTTTGGATCAAACACCTTAATAGATTACCAAGATTGGGGTTAACAACTTTGGTTTGACCTTTAGCTTGTTGGTGGTAGGCAGTTGAGAATTTCAATTTAGTGACAATTATACAAAATAGGACTCACAAAAATGGCTAGTGAAACATACATCCTTATCCAAGACAGTAGGCTTAGGAAAACCATACAAATTGACGATCTCATGAAAGTATAACTTAGCAACTTTGGATGAATGAAAAGTCTTGTGACAAGGGATAAGTGTACCACTTTTGAGAAGCAATCCAATAAAATGAAAAGGAGTCATGTTTCTTTGGAGTACGTGGTAATCCTAGTATGAAATCCCTACTGACGTCTTGCCAAAGCTAATAGGAACAGGAAAAGGTGTGTAGAGACCCGTGTTCTGCCTCTTTTGCTCAACTTATTGACAGGTGTTACATGTGACAACTATCTTAGCCACATCTATCTTTAAACTGGGCAAATAAAATTGACGTTCAATCTCCTTTATAGTCTTATTACGCCCAAAATGTCCCACCAATCTGTCGCATAACTTTTTCAAATTATAAAGTCTAGCGCTACAGTCCTAGGGATGCACAAATCGGCAGTTAAAAGTTAATTTGATTCCACTTGATAGTCATGATTTTGATGTGATATTGGGCATGGATTTCTTAGCAACAAATCATGCCTTAATTGACATTTTTTGCAAAGAGATGGAGTTCAGAAGGCTAGAAGAGCCTCAAATTGTTTTTAGAGGTTAATGGAGAATATTACCTTCATGTATCATATCTGCACTTGCTATTGGGAGATTTTTCAAAAAAGGTTGCCATGCATATTTAGCTCATGTGATTGACACCCAAATCAATGTGCTAAAACTCGAAGATATGTATGTGGTAAGAGATTTCCTTGATATTTTTCTTGGAGAGCTTCCAGGGTTACCTGCAAATAGAGAAATTGAGTTTACCATTGATTTGGTCCCTAGGACTATCATTATTTTATAAACGCCTTACAGAATGGCTCCAGCGGTATTGAAGGAATTGAAAGTTCAGTTGCAAGATTAAGTTGACGAGTTTCATTAGACTCAACATATCTCTATGGGGAGAACTAGTCATAGTTGTGAAGAATGAAGATGGCATAATAAGATTGTGTATTGACTACAGACAGCTAAATAAAATGACTATCCGCAACAAGTATCCTTTGTCTCGTATTTATGATTTGTTTGACCAACTTCGTAGTGTTACAGTATTTTCTAAGATTGATTTACATTTAGGGAACCATCCGCTCAAAATTAGGGATAGTGATGTACAAAAAATTACTTTTAGGTCACGATATAGCTATTATGAGTTTTTGGTGATGCCATTTAGGCTGACTAATACCCCAACAGTAAATATGAATCTGATGAATCGGGTGCTTCACCCATATTTAGACAAATTTTTGATTGCTTTATTGATGATATATTGATTTATTCTCGTAATAGTGGTGAGCATACTTAACTCTTGAGGATTATTTTGCAAACTTTACAAGATAAGCAGTTATATTTAAGTTTAGCAAAATGTGAATTTTAGTTGGATAAAGTTGTATTTTTGGATCTTTTTATATCAAAAGATGGTTTTTTTATGTAGATCCTCAGAAAATTGAAGCGGTAATGAAATGTGAACGCCCTATTAATGTTATAGAAATACGGAGTTTCCTTAGGCTAGCAGGTTATTATCATCGGTTTGTAGAGAATTTCTCAAAAATTGCTCTTCCTTTGACTAGTTTGACTCAAAAGAACTCCAAATTTGTATAGAATGAAGAATGTGAAAAGAGTTTTCAAGAGTTGAAGAAAAGATTAGCTTCTGCTGCTCCTGTGCTTGCTCTTCCATCTTTAGGTGAAGAGTATGTAATTTATAGTGATGTTTCACGCAATTGATTGGATTGTGTTCTAATACATAATTGAAAAGTTATAACTTATGCTTCAAGACAATTGAAGAAGCATGAGTTAAACTACCCAACACATGATTTGGAGTTAGCTGTAGTGGTGTTGGTATTGAAGATTTGGAGGCATTACCTTTATGGTGAGAAATTTCAAATATTTACTAATCACAAAAGTCTTAAATATATCTTTGATCAGAATGACTAAATTTGAGACAAAGAATATAGTTGGAGTTGATAAAGTATTATGATTGACTACCACTTGAGAAAAGTTAATGTAGTTGCAGATGCTCTCAATGAAAAGACTGATTCTTCCCCTTCACCTAGTGCAGTATGTGCTTCTATGATTTATGAGTTCAATAATTTGCATGCTCAATTGTCAACTACTACTTCAGAGACAGTATTAGCTCATTTTCAAGTAAGGCCTTCTTTGATTTATAAGGTTAGAGAAGCTCAATCGCAAGACCCGACATTGAGAACGTTGAAAGCAGAAGTTAGTACAAGGTTAAGAACGGATTATGTGATTAGAGATAATGATACGTTGGCTATAGGAAATAAATTATGTGTTCTAAATATTCTATAATTGAATAAAAGGATTCTAGAAGAGCCACACAGTTCTGCTTATGCTATGTATTTAGATAGTGTTAAAATGTATCATGCACTGAAAAAGTATTACGGGTAGATTAGGATTAAGAGATAATTAGAAGATTTTGTATCCAAATGCCTTATCTGTCAGTAGATAAAGCCAGTTCGTCAAAAAATAGCAGGACTTTTATAGCTATTGCCTATTCCATAATGGAAATAGGAGTACATTACTATGGACTTTTTATTTGGTGTTCCTCATACTCAGAATGGTCATGATGGTGTTTTGGTTATAGTGGGTCGTTTGACCAAGACTACTAGGTTTTTGCCAATCAAAGCCGCTTATATTTTAAATAAATTGATAAAGTTATATGTGGATGAGATGGTGAGTTTATATGGTACTCCATTATCTATTGTGTCTGATAGAGACTAGTGTTTTACATCTAAATTTTGGCCTAGTTAGTAGAAAGCCATGGGTACTAAACTACCTTTCAGTATAACTTTTCATCCTTAGGCAGATGTCCAGTCATAGAGGACCATACAGACTCTTTAAGATATGTTCATAGCTTGTGTTTTAGAATTCAATTGTACCTGCGATACTCATTTGTCATTGATGGAGTTTGCTTACAATAACAATTACTACTCTAGTATAGAAATGGGTCATTTTGAAGCTTTATATGTTAGAAAGTGCAGAACAAAAATTTGTTGGGATGATACTAGTAAGAGGAAGTTAATTGGCCCTGAATTGGTTCAAATAACTTTAGAAAATATGAAATTCATCAGAGAAAAGTTGAAACCGAAACAAGATAGAAAGAAAAGTTGTGAAGATAGGTGCGGAAAAGATCTTGAATTCGTAGTTGGAGATAAAGTTTTTTTCTAAAATTTTTGCCTTGGAAAGGGTTTTTGAGATTTGGCTAGCAAGGAAAGTTGAGTCCATGATACACTGGACTCTATAAGATTACTGAGGGGATTGGTCCAGTTGCATATCGATTAGATTTGTCAATTGTGATGTTCAAGATCCATGATTATTTCATGTTTCCATGCTCTACAAGTATATTGCAAATCATTCTCATGTTTTAGAGTCTCAACCAGTTCAGTTGGAGGAGAATTTGACCTATATAGAAAAGTCAATGAGAATTCTAAACAGAAAGATGCAAAAACAGAGAAGTAAGACAATTTCACTTGCAAATGTACTTTGGAAGAATCAGACAGCAGAAGAGGTTACATGGGAGCATGAAAATCAGAAGCGTACTCAAATTCTCATCTATTCATTACCTAGCCAGTTGCCTGTTGAATTTTGAAGATAGAATTCTTTTAAGGAGGTAAGATTGTTACAACCCATCTCAATTAGTCAATAATCAAAATTTCACTAGTCAAAATCTTAGTCAAATAGAGACTTCAATAAAATAAATTATTTTATTGGGATTTATTTTACAGTTGAAAATATTTAAGGGTTTAAGTTCGACAAAATAAAATTTTCAAAATGTACTCATTTATTAAGGGAAGTTAAGTATTTAGTATGATTTTATATGAAGGTTGGAGGACATCCTTTTCAGTTGTTGGTATGAGTGAACTACAAGTGGCAACAGTTTAACATTGTCTTCATTTTTCAATTTTATACACAAAGAGAGAAAGCTGAGGGCAGAAAATGGGCATAAAGGTGAGAAAAACTAGGGAAAAAATGAAAGAAAATAGAAAAAGAAGAAAAGAAAGAAGAGGGTGAGAAGAACGGAAAAGAGGTAGTTTAAACTTGATTTTCATTCTCTCCTCTTTATTTTCTTCAAGAGGTAGAGAAAAAAAAATTGTTAAAGTTGTTAGGGTTTAATTTGTTAGTTTGATTTTCAGATTGAAGAGAATGAGAATAATTTCAAGCCAACTTTCTTAATTTGTTATGCTAATTGCATAAGGTAAGAATTACTAATTTTTGGGCAAATCCTAGAATTTTATTTAATTGGGTTCTTAAGTTTTGAATATTTGGTGGAAATGATTGTGATGATGAAATACTCAAATGAAAGCGTGATTTTAAGGAACAAGATGTAAAATTAATTGGTGCAAGTATGATTTCAAGTTTTCACTAGATTGAAGATGGGACAATTATTTTATGCTTGGGTGAAGGTTATTTTGATGAACTAGTTATTAGTAAAGGGACTAGAAAGCGGAATTAGCTCCAATTGATTAAAGAAAAATTTAGAAAATATATTCGAGAAATTTAGTTTAAGTATTATAGTATTAGTATTAAAGATTTCTTGATATGATAGTGGTTAAATTAGTTATCTTGTATCATATTTCAGGTGATGATAAAGAGATTAGAAAAGCTTACCGACCATCATAATCTGTAGCTTATATTGAGTGAGTGGGAAAACTTTTTTTTTTCAAAAATAAGTATTTATTTAATTTATATTAGATTAGAAAGTTAATTATTTCATATAATTGGTTTGACAGCATGATTTTCAAAATTATAGTCGGTTCTTTTTAAAGTTAAATTTAGTTTAGCTAAACCATTTCATTTACATATTGTACCAGTATTAAATATTTCAGCATAACTAAAGTTATTTTAAAAACCATTAGAAAGTACACAAGTGATTTTACCCTAGTCTGCACTTGTGTGAATGTGTTTCCACAGTATATAACCCATATAGTTATTTTACCCACTCTACACTGGTGTGAATGTGTTTTCACAGTGCATGATTAGTTATGATAATTTTACTCACTGTGCACTATTTTGAAAGTGTTCCCATAGTGTATGACTATATTGTAGCCTTTAGGCAACTCTGTGCATATTACCAGAATTTCAAAATTAGAGATAGCTTTGTCGTGTATATCGGTATTATTAGATACATGAGTAAGGTTATTTCGGGTACCTTTTTGATTTGATTTATCAGTTTATCAAATTTCAAATTGCAGAATTTAGTTTATTTAGTTTAAAGAATAAAGATTTCATCTATAGTACGGTGAAAGGATATTTTTACTTATAATATCGATGTCAGATTTATTATATCCATTATATTTTATAGTTATTCATTCAGTATAAATGATAAAGCGTTTTACGATTCCATTATGCTTTAATTTTAAAAGAATTATTAGATTTCAAACTTTCTTAAAGTTGTAATAGCACAAGCGTTTTCAGAAAGTTTGTATAAATGGACAAAGTATATTTATTTACAAAATATTCACTAGCTGAGTTACAAATTCATATATTTTGTCACCCTTTTTCTTATCAGATAGTAGCTGAGTTGGGCAGAATTGGAGTCTGTTGATCTATCAAGTTGAGCCACATATTGTCATCAGTTGTATAACTCATTTTGTCAATTTATATACTTCATATTTTTGGAACACGTGCATCTTTTGTCGAAAAATGTATCCATATCATAGGCTCGGTGGATTTTTGTATATGTTATGCATTTGGAGTCTTCTAGCTTGTATAGAAGTGTAAATTTCATTCTAATACACTTTATTTTGACTAGTTTGTGTTTTGAGAGGTTGGTGTACCCTGTTTTCTATTGTATGTATTGATTTGAAGAAATTGATTACTGATCAGGAGGTTTTAGTCCATAATTCAAAGAAAACTCTGCAAAATTCTTTTAAAAATTCGTCACAACCAAAGCAGGTCAAGGTTACCTTTGTGGTGGGTTCAACACTTAGCTGCTATCTACTATCGGGGCACTGCACAAGTCAGGTCCATTAGGGTGTTGCAGGACAGTTCATTTCACCTAGCCTTAGAACCATCAGCCAAAGATCACACGCTAAAATAACAGGTATGGAATGAGAGGAATGGAGTAACAACAAGAGAACACATGGGAGGTAACAAAAACTCTTTTGAGTTTGGTATGATGATATAAAAGGCTCCCTCTACTAGCTGGCCTAGGGGAACAATGAATAACGGCAATAGGGTAGGATCAAGACATTCCTTATCCATCAGTTGGATGAGATCAGAATAACAGGCAGCCACATAAAACCACCAGACGATAACTATGTGAGCTTCATTATAGATGAGTTCCCACCCAATTACTTATTCAATTGTGCTTCTTATCACACTATCAATAGCTGGGGTCTATGTTAACAAATCTTTGGCACAGCAGTAACTAGGCCAACCATTGTTGTACAATCTATGGGCGATGATTTCTCTATATCATTGCTCCAAAAAATTCCCATTGCCATGAAGAGTTAGATAAGAGTTCTCCGACAGCTACAATGGATTGCGAACATAAGGGCCTAGTGCTAAGTTAACCCCAAGTAGCACCATACTGCCCATATATCAACAAATACTACGAAAAAGAAAAAAAAAACATCAATAATGCTTTCGAAAAGAGCGTTTGCAGAATCGTAGAGATGAAATCAGAATGACTGTTATGCATCATATCAGATCAACACCCGTCATTTTAACTTAGTTAATTGCCAATCCCGACCCCAGTAAATCCCATATCAATGTTTAAAATATAAAATTTGTGTAGAATATAATTACTCTGAGAATCCCTATTAATATTCCTTAAAAAATATAAATTTCCAAGAAAATGAGCTTACGAGTTTTCCAAAACAAAGAGTTTATAAACCATGAGTGAGTTGCCTACCACTTGATAACTCTAAAGAATTCATTTCCTCCATCTCTCTTTTCAACAAATTTTGTTCCCGTTACAAAATTTAGAAAAATAAAGGGCTATGTCTATTTCTACACCATTTCTGTAACAGATATGTGCAAGTCTATTTGTATGAGCGTTTACCCATATAAGCATAAAATTGCACGATTTTTCATGAACTCGAGTTTACGATAGCTTGTTTAACACTTTTCTTTTGGATAGGTAGTTGTATAACAAATCTTGTAATAAAGTAAATCATGAGAATGATAAATATGAACATGACTAAATGAATAAGTACGATCGTGCAATTTTCAAAGCATGTACATGGTGCATTAACTAATTAACTATTTCTATTGCAATTTAGCCAATCTAACATGTATAGAGAAAACAATAATATGTACACAATCCATTGTATTACATAAATTATATAATCAGAAAATGATTTTAATACACTATCTATATAATCTTGCTGTAATAGAACGTTGCTAACCTATTACATTATACAACCATTTAGATTGCAAATTGGAAATATTGATTAGAGTTAGTTTTGGTTTTCGAAAAAGTGAACTACTTGTAATCGAATTTATATAAGACAAAATCATTTTACTCGATTCTATGTCTTGTTTTGTTACTATCACAACTACAAAACAGAGGGCGGAGCCATTCACATTCCAGTGTGGGCAAATGCCTGCAATGGACTTTTGGCCTCCGCCCCTAGTAGCAACCTTTCCATCTCTTGTAAGTACGCGTGTTGCTCTTGTTCCACTTCCTGAGGTATAAAGTCCCTTTTTCCAATATTTTCTTGAAGTAGTTTGTAATGTTTTACTTCATTCGATAAAGTCCCTTTTTCTATAATTTTCTGGAAGTATTTGTAATGTTTTACTTCTATTACCAATTCTCAAGTGTATTGCCCTACTATTCATATATGCTAGCCTATGTTGGCAGCATGACTCAACATTGTTCGATTACGTTCCCACTAAGGAACGAACCGTTTGGGAGCAATTTTGTTATGAGAAAAATGGGGGTCATCTGTGAGAGAATAAGTCAAACTTTACGCCTGAAATAATGAAATAATGATCATAAAATAAATTTTTTGGAGTGAAAAATCACTCCCAAACGGCCCCTAATTAAACTTTGTCCGCACTAGACAAAATTCCTGACTCCGCCCCCATACAAAACCATGTTCAATGATAGTGTTGTCGTGTTTTGAGCACTCAACTAAAAAAAATGTCATTTTTGCGTAATTTTCGTTTTTCCACCTATGCACATAAAAGATGGGGTTTAAAATTAAAAATATTGGTTCGTGTTTCCCCCCACATGGCATTATGATCATTGGAGTTATGAAATAAATTACTTAGCAAATACTGAATGTCGAGATGATGAAACAAGACTTAAACCACTTATTTAGTTGTTTTCTTAGTTTTATCTTTTTATTATTTCTAGCAGTTTAAGTTACTCGTAGGAAATTACTCATTTTCATGTTTAGGGTTTTCGTACTTTTGTTTTTTCTATTCAAACATTTTATATCTTGTCATTTTTAGTTTGTTGTTTTTGAATTAAAAAAAAAATAAAATAAAATAAAAATTTGAGAGTTTCTCAAATCTTCCAACTATTTCATTGCCCGAATACCGAGTATACTAGTGAATTGACGAGTGTTTTTAAAGTGCTAATACATTCGGCATAATTCAAATGCATCAATATCAAATTATTCAAGGTTTGTGGTGTAT